TGCTGGGGCGCCTGACAGGAAACCGTATTGCGATTAAAGCCCCGAAACGGTGTCAGGTTTGTAACTGATGATTCTGATCCATGCTCCTGTGAGTTTGCTGCTGTATCTCAACTCGCTAAACTGAGACATCTACGCATCTTGGGTGAATATGCGTACATCTTCATACTAAACCCAGGTGTGGCATGTGTCAGTGAATACGGGCGAGCGGATGCAATACCTAAAGTGCTAAATTACCCTCATCTTGCTCTTCGTTTATACTATTCTTGCTCGTGCTAAACTACCCTCTTCTTGCTCTTCGTTTATACTATTCTTGCTCGTGCTAAACTACCCTCATCTTGCTCTTCGTTTATACTATTCTTGCTCGTGCTATGTGGGGGGGGGGTCAATACTGGGGGTCGCTCAATGCTGACAGTTGCTGACAGGGGAAGGGGGTAAAATTGGCCAAAACCTTGCTGATTTCATATGTGAACGCTCCCTAAGATCATTTGATTATAAGGCTCCACGTCCTACCTAACGAGATTTGCTGGTCCAAGATAATTCGGTTACAAATCAAGCAGGTCACACCTTAATCTTTATTTAGCTTGCTGTTATAGGATGCGTGTAGTGATCTATCAAGAAATGTGGTCGATGTGTATAAACTGATAATTGGATTTACTTCGGCTGAATTAGACGTATTGTTCACTTAGTATTCCAACAGCTGTTTACATAATACAATGTTCATATAATTTGTCAGCGATCCCAAGTAATCTTTATGCCAATTTCATTTAGGTAGTATGTTCGTGTAGGAAGCTGGAAGACACGATTCAAGATAAACAGTCAGCCCAACAGCGAGTGATGCAATATGGTAGCGACATCTCACACCACGTAAGTCAAATATTAATTTAGATTAAGTCTTAACATCCGTTTATGGATAACATTCACAATCCACTGCAGAGCAGTTTCCATAACAATAACACAGCTCTTTATTTAAAGTTAAACTACTTTTCATACCCCCATACCGCTCTTTGTTTAAAACTATTCTTGCTCGTGTTAAATTACGTGGCAATTGTGCAAAACTGCCCCATATTTAGAAAGTCTGCCCAAGCTAAATTTGTTTTTGAAGGGTTCCTAGAACCGTTCTAGGTCTCAAACCCTGGGGCGGAAGATGTGTTTACGGGAATTTTCTCAGATCCTTGATGTTATATTAACCATATTACCATTTTCAGGTCGCAGTCAGATACCCTGTTGGAACTATTTATCCAAACTCTCCTTTACTGTTTACAGTAGGATTATCAAGGATACAGCAGATGAAGAGAATGAAGAAACCCGAAACCCATCTATTAATATTTCAAATAGTTTCCCTAAAAAATAATAAAACAAAAGATAACATTAACAATATTAGTCCAATTTTTGCGACCAAAATATTCCTGTTTTAGTTGTTTCCAAGAAATCTTACTACAATTAACAATCTGACAGCCGCTCGGAAATGAGTTCAATGCAACTCGAAGCCAAAATCCAATGCATTAAGGGTTTGGGAGCAAAATTTTCCAACTACATGACAGCGAATTTGAAACCTTAGTAATTTATAATTGCCAAAACAGTGAAAAACAAGTACTCTGGCCAATATAATAATAATGCACTGTCACTGTGTTCGTTACCCGGCACCAGTTTATTCAAGGTAGGCGTTCAATCCAAATGTGTTATCTTTCGAATTCTGCTGTCATCTACCTTGCAGGAACCAGTTAATAAAGCAAATAATTTCGTTTACCATGTGACGTGTCTTTGTTGAGTGTAAACACGCGACAGCATTCTCTGGACAGACTTCTCCAAACAGTATAAATTATCGATGTAAAATTAACATTTTTTATAACATGCAGAACGAGCTCTTTCTGTTCGGATATTATATAGATCATAGATCAGAACAAATTCTACCGAATAGGTATGAGATAATCCACTTGAGAGCGGCAGCGAAAACTTTATAGTATGAAAAGTATATTTTTCAGCACTTATTCCTGCTCGGCGTGAGAAAATTTGCCCTGTACCGTTCAAATCGTGGTGCGTTACTATAATAGTAATGACCGGCATTGTTTACTTTGTTTTAATAAAATTATAAGAGTGTCTTGTGTCAGCCGTGACTGGCATACAATTTGGAAGTACAATATCTTGTCTACATATTTCAATATCTTTTACATTCTATGTAGCACCCTGCAATTTATAGTGAGTAAGATCGTTTACTGTTATAATATGCAATGAGTATCACTTGATAGAGACAGACAGACAGACAGGGTATCACTTGCTTGATGGAGTATCACTTGCTACGTCACTCCTCGCATTCGACAATACTAATAGCGTTTCTCTTCCTAATATAATGTAGGAAGCTGATATAGGCGCTGTGATTGGACGAAATAACGTGCGCTCATTGGTCAGATATTTAATTGATGAACCAATGGACGCGGCGATCTGAACAGCGAGTCTCTTAACTTTATTTCTGCACTATAACCGCTAATTGGACACAATAGTATGATGTCTAAGGATCGATAATATGTTAAGAAGTATAAATTTGGCCTTATTGGTCACGTGCTATACCAATGCGCGTTTTAAACTTTGACAGTCTATAACTCTGAGGCAAATAAAGTAATTATATTCATATTTTGTCAGCAATAAGATCACATTATTTTCTATTTGGTGTGAAAATATGAACTAGAACGGACATAATCTCGCTGAGTTATAGCTGTTTGAAATTTATGATGAACGCGCGGGTGCCAAATGATAACAACTAAATGCTTTTGCGCGTAGTGCGCGTCGAAAATTTGGCAAAAACGATTGCGGAGTGACAATATTCAAACTTCGATAAAGTATATGAAGTGGGTACTTCTCTGTTCTCGGAAAGGAAAAATTAAGGCAAACACGATGTGACTATTTTTGGGTTGATTTAATACAACTGCAAAAAATTATTCAAACTTCAAGCAAAGTTTGGTAGGTTATAAACCTACAAAGTTTCACTATGTAGAGTTTCTACGATACAGCTAGGGGGAGCCGCGCACTCGTGGCGGCGCGGGTCATACAACGTATGCAGTATGACAACGAAATAGCGCGTGCGTGTCGGGTTAGTTCATATTAACACTGGCTCTTACTAGCTAATTCGCTCGCCCATAAATTAGTACTGATCACGTAACGCGACTTAAGTTTTTTTTGATTTTTTTGCCTAACAAAACGGATGATGATTAATCACTTTACACTCAAATGTCACGTGACTTTTTCAACTCGTTCTTTTACCTGAGGACCCCAGGCTATTATGTTCATTAACATATAATAAAGATTTGGCGGAATGACAGGCTGAGCGCGGCCCAGTAACTCGTTCTTTAGCTGGCTCTGAACGACTATTCGAAACCCTATCCCTCTAATCTTTACTGAGCCGCGCTCAGCCTGTCATTCCGCCAAATCTTTATTCGGTTATGTTAATGAACATAATAGCCTGGGGTCCTCAGGTACGTAATCTAATCTGATCATAACCCAATCTTTAACAAAAGTGTATGCCGAAACCCTAACCAAAACCCTAACTGCTAACAGCTAATATAACGAGAAATTAAATTAACTTCCTTATATATACGGTCATATCGTGTGATCGATTGTTGTCATACGTTGTATGACCCGCCGCGCACGAGTGCGCGGCTCCCCCTGTATCGTAGAAACTCTACCATAATTGATAAAACGACCGTCACAGGAGGAGCAAAGTGCAAAGAAACTGCCACAAACTGCTACAAACTGCTACTAACTGCTACAAACTGGCACTAACTGGCACTAACTGCTACTAACTGCTACAAACTGGCACTAACTGCCACAAACTGCTACTAACTGCTGCAATCGTGCCCCCTCTTTACTGCGCAACGCACGCCGCGCACAACTGCTACAAACTGGCACTGACTGCTACAAACTGCTGCAAACGGCGCGCGAATGGCAGTTAGTGCCAGTTTGCATGTAGTAGTTAGTAGCAGTTAGTGGCAGTTAGTGCCAGTTTGTAGCAGTTAGTAGCAGTTTGTAGCAGTTTGTGACAGTTTCTTTGCACTTTGCTCCTCCTGTGCCTTACTGGGCCGCGCTCAGCCTGTCATTCCGCCAAATCTTTATTCGGTTATATGTTAATGAACATAATAGCCAGGGGTCCTCAGGTAACCTGTGCCGTGGGGGTCACAACGTGATACAAATCGATTGTAAGTTTATAACCTACCAGGACGCGCGCCGAGTTGGACTCGTCGACGGAACAAATATTTTACGAGTATATCACCCGTTAAGTGATCGAGAGAGTTTTTCGCCAATATCTCGCCATGGGAGCATTTTAACCGGACCCCCTATTATATATGTGATGGTAGGTATGGGGTTATTTGTAATCAGCGTCCGAAAATACATCGATTCAAGTTGGTTTGAACTGTCGAGGGCCCTTTTAAAACTAAATCTCGAAGATCGACTGCATGTAGAGTGATTTAGCACGTACGCTCGGATTCTCGGAACAAAACGGTCGCGCAGTTTTACGTAAACCCTAATCCTGCAACCCTAACCCTAACCCCAAAGCTATCCATAACCCTAACCACAACCCCAACCCTAACGCGAGCCCAAAACAATCGAATTCGTGTTTTACTAGCCTGCCACGTGGTCAAAACGGTTCTTTGCCCATTACATAACTCTCCCATCTCCAGGGAAGCATTTTTACCCTACATTACATCATGGGTGGTGATTCGGAATCAACGTCCAAAAATACACCGATTTAGATGACTTATAGTTATACCCTCAGGGCCTTTTCACAATAATTGTCCTAAAATTTGGGCGAGCGATTAACAATGGACAAATGACGCTGGATGGTCCCGGTCGGTATAAGGGAATAATGTAATTTTAGACATGACTATGGACTAGAGTTACACATGATTCGAGTTTCGAAATCTAGTTTTGTTTAAAATGTTGATTTTTATTTATCACAGTTTATTATCGTATGTCATAGTCTGTAGTCGTTAATTGAAAGAAAAACACTATTTGGTAGATAAGCACAAAGTTCTTGGTACAAAATCGTCATAGATATTACATTGCATATTCGTTGAATTTGCTGTGATAAATATTACTCATTACTATTCTAACTGTAGTTATTCTAAGAAGCCAATTTAAGACCAAACGGTAAAACTTAAATATGCAACTTTCTGTAATACGTAAAAATCTAAAAGCTTTTGGCGAACTCATTCATTGTATACTGCATAGTTTATTGACCTCGAGTATAACCTCGTCACTCGTTATTTAAGATTCTTATCAGACATCACATCATCATAACAGGTCTTCAAATCTTCAACATATCAATTATTCGATCGATGATCGTTCGCGTGTCAGAAAAAAATCCATAACATATCAAACTTAATTCAGTCTAAGTGTAACTAGAAATGTGCCGGCAATTATATCATTATATGATTATATTAAGTCATTGCAATCCAAAACATGAAAACAAATATGTAGCAATTTCTTTGACCACCCAAATTATGACTCTACTTAATGTTAAACTTTCGAATTGCTCTTAAAACTTCAAATCAAAATTCAAAACTTAGTCAAAAGTTAGGAAAAGGTGAAAACTGAAAGACCACTGCATCATGCATTATTGTTGCAAAATATTGGATAAATACAATGGCTCTTGAAATAAATTGTCAACATCACGTGATCATACACTTTATAATCGTGATTGTTCAACTGATCTCAAGTATGTTTTTTTATGTACTTCGGTTACTCACCTTAATATGAATTCGAACTTTTCGATAAACAAATTATGCAACCCACTTAATTGATCTTATAACGTAAAAGTAAAATTTAAAACATGGCATTTATCCACTTTTAATGCAATTAAAAATCAAACAAATGATGCAAGCTGGCGCGATGCTGTATTAAGTATTGTACATTTGGTACAAATCATTTCTATAAAATATACACAAAATAAGTAACAAAGCGAACGTTCCACTAGTCCTTACTCATCGTACTTAACTTCTCAATTTCTGAAGTGCTGACTTAACAAAATCTCTGTCATTGGAACTGAACAAAATGACGCGTTACGCCTCACGCAAGATCAAGGGCAGGCCCCGACAACAGCTGCTGATTGTCCAGTCGCGGTCGGGGAAGAAACGGTTTTAGGATCTTCCTCGAGGATTTTAGGGCCCCCATTAAGGGAGGAGGGCGCGTCTGTCTGACTGTTTCGTTGTGAGGATGATTTCCGTGAGGACGGCTGGTCGGTGGTGCTGTTCTTTTTAGTCGGGGGATGAGATACCTTCTCCTTAACTGACTCCGTTTCCTCTTCCTTTACACGGCCATTGACTGCTGGAGTTACAGGGGTCTCGTCTGGAAAATATTTTTATCGTATGATTTTAGTGATTCTTTCAAGTTTTTAAAGATATAATGCTGATTGCTGAAACATCAGAATGGAAAATATGTGAAACATATAACTTAATTATTATTAAATCGAACAATTACAGGGGAATCTACGTACGAAGAGCGATTCAAAATATTTCACTTTTTTATGGCAGTCTTATTATAGGATCAAGTCAGTTCAACGATTGTTTATGACTACAGTCGTTTTGTATCACAAAATCACCTTTTGGAGTGACGAGCTCTTTCCACCTTTTCCTATTCTCGGATAATCGATTATCCCACGGTCTATCGACCTTTTTGTAGTTAACCTGAGCGTTGCAATTTGTTATTTATTCTACTCATAAAACAATGTATTTTCAAATTTCAATGTCTTTCACATGTAAGGATTTGGAGAACAATGAAAATGCAATCAAAAATGGAATGTAGTGTAAAACTTACAGATTTAGTTCCAGTAGCGTTGGCTTCTTCATTCTGAAGAAGCAGTAGAGCATCGAACATATCTCCAAGAAGGTTCATGCTAGGAACGATGATAAAGTCGATAAAACCGACTTGGGACTCGGGGACTAAAGTCTCTGTTCTGTTGCAGAGAGGCGAGTTCGGAAGTCCCAGCGACGTTTCTTTGTCACCCTGCAGCGAAATTAAAGTCAACGAGCTATTAACACAGGGTATTCGATTAGATGAATGAGTTTATTCGATGTTTGCTACATTAAAATAAAAACATGACTCGTTTAAACGAACAAACTATTAACCTGACAGAAGAACTCCTCCATGAGATTATCCGTCCATTTCTTGTGGAGACCCCATGTTTTAGTTGGATGTGAGATGTCAGCACAGTGCAGAATCAGGGTCATCGCCGTGTTCCGGTTAACGCTGAAGAAGGCGGCGATGTCCTTCGTTGTTCTTAAAAAGCAGAGGTTAGCTGGGACGATGGAGTATGATGGCGACTGACGAGAGACACTGACATGAAAGCAATCCCCGGCAGCAGGAGCAAGAGTTATAATCCCGCAGATAGAGTAACAGACTTATAAACCCGCTAGTAGTAAATAGTAAAAGCCACGTGGACGAGTAAAAGTGCCGATAATCATTGAGGATACTAGCAAATTTTATGAAGAAGCTTATAGATATAAACATTAACCAGCGAATGGTGAACAAGCTTATAGATATAAACAGTAAACCAGCGCATGGTGCTCATTTTTCTGTAGAAATTCAGACTGTTTTAATAACAATCACGCACACAGCTGCCTGATTGTTGATAATTTATAAGATAAATGGAATTAGCGCTTGCTATTTAAACGGTATAAGATTTTTAAACCTTTTGTCCAAATTATTGTTCTTTTGAGAGAGATCAGATTAGTGTACTAGGTGGATTGTAGGCGTTTAGCCGTTCAAGATTAAACTTTTCCAGATTATCACCAATAAGGCACACGGTTTCTTCGGTCGCTACGTAACGAGATCTAGTAAATAAAGATTCATGGAGTTTTTATTAATCGACCTGGGACAAAATTTAATTAGGTCGTAAGCCGATGCCAATCTGAATCATTCGACCCGAAAAGATGGTAGTAACCTCGTAGCGGAAGAAAAGTTGGGTCACTAAAATGTTTACATTATTGAGCTAAAGAATGTACATTTTTAATGAAGATGTTGCAAATGCGGTCTAAATAACCAGGCTTTTGTTTTTAATTCACTTTTTACGGCGGCATGAATAGCACTTGCAAATTCTATAGCGCAAATAACTCGCTACAAGCTCAGCTGCTACTTGATATATAACCCGCTACAAGCTCAGCTGCTACTTGATGATAGTTATTAACCGATATTGAACCTATCAAAATACCAGACATGTTGATCAATTCAGTAGACGACTGTTTAATGCAGCAGACTGATCAATGAGACCTTCATCTGCAGCTCCTACGTAAAATATAAAGCCCAACAATAGCAGCATGCTCAAAGCTTTGAATCTCACTAAACTAAAATAAGTACAGATAAGTATAGTCAATTAATCAACATGGCCACAAACCAGGGCTTCAGAAATGCTCCAGGCGCTTCCCGATGAAAGGAAGCTTATCAAACTTATTAAAACAACCAGTATGCATGGAATGCGGAAAAACGGAGCAATCCATTCACATGAATAAATAAAATGAACTTGCGTAGAGTAAAGGTGCTTTTTTGCACGGTATAAACAATCTTAGAACAAACCCGAGAAACCAACGTGGTTATTGTAGAAGCTAAAATCCCAGCTAACTTTGTGCTTTGTAGAACAAGTTAAGGTTCCCAGGTGATTTGACAGAACATTGATTTTGGGGAGAAACTTTTCGACGCAGGTGAAGGGAAATTTGTGGACTATTGATTTTTGCAAATATTTTTGGAGAAACTAGGGATTTTAAGTAAATATCAAGCTCAAAATTTCATGTTGAGTCAAATCACCGAACATTTGAAGAAACTCTGATCAAACTTAATCAAATAGCTTGGTTTGATCAGAAGCTTCAACTTGTAGAATAGCTGCAATAGCATAAGGTTATTAGCATTAGATCATTAGTTGAATACAATAACACTAAATCTGCAAAGTGCAAGAAAAGTGCTGATTGAATCAAGTCGATAGAATTCTTGCTGACACAAACTTTAAAACTGATTTTAAAACCTCCCAGGAATGAGAAAAACCGACGAAAATACTTACGTCGAGGGGTTGAAGAGGGCGTTCTGCATGTTCTTGATTTGGGTGAAATGAGCGCTCATGTCAGTTCCCAGAACAGCTTCCACGGCTATCCCCCTCATTTCCCTGATGATGAGAATAAAGTCAGCGGTTTGCTCTGAGGTCTATAACTGTCGTGTTAACTGTGCACGTTTAATATTTTTCACTGACGAGCCGACGTAACTTTTCATTTAATCAAAGTTAGACTACACTTTTTTAGTTTGAACCATTTAAAAATAAAAATATCAACCAATCCCTACCTGAAGTCATCCTTCGATAATTTATCGAAAGGATTAGAGTCCGGTTGATCAAGATATCTGTAGGCCGAGCTGATGTGGTGGTTTTCCAGAACTGATCTATCGTTGTACATTATCGTCAGAGGTGAACTGAAATGGGAATGTTGATAATTATAACTTTAAGACGCACGTAACAAAATATCAGACCAAAGGTGTGTCGTACGAGAGGAGGTGTCCCCTCGACTCACACCGTCACTAAGCTTACTGTATTCAATGATAAATACTCTAGGGTGGGTCCTCCTTAATGAGCCTTGTAGTAGATGAATGGGTGCAGAACTGAATAAATAAAGGTATGTTCCAGTAACATAGAGCAGATTAATCGACTGAGTGACAATGAGGCTACATGCACAAAAAGCTACATGCCCAAAAGCCACAATCTATAGTTTCTGACCTGGTACAAATATGGAAGTTATTAGTGGTTCCCGTGTGTTCAACATCGTGTATCATAGCGGAGAAGAGAAGAGCCAGTATCTCAATATCAGTCATCCAGGAAGCAAAGCCAGTAGATGAGATGAGGTTGTGGGTTGTGATGAGAACATCAGCTCCGTGAATTGCATTGTGGTAGGGGTTACCGTGCAGATTGTAGCCGTTCTCAACCAGAGCGCAGTAGTTCTCCAGGTTGTGCAGGTTTATCTGTGTGGAAGAGAGATTATTTTGTGGGATTCTATAGAGTTTGAGTCAAAAAGTTGATACTTGATACAGATAAATGATCAGGTACAAAACGTCTAGCTAGGTTCTTTTATGCAAGATAATGGACACTGTCCAATATACCCTATCGGCCAGGTAAACATGTTATTCTAATGACAACAAGATATGTACCACTTTAATGTGGATTCTTGCAGTCGTCATGAAGGCTTACCTTAAACCTCTTAACAAGGCCATATCTTCGTAGCACCTCACCAAACAAGCCTCGGAACGGTTTGTTGCCCGTCAGACCATCGTATTTAAACACATCAATATCCCAGTTATTTAACTGGTCCTAAACGGATTGTTGTTTTGAGGTTTCATAATAATTAAACATGGATATAGGGAGCTGTGAAAATGTTTTTAGAGGTCTCTATGGCTTCGACTCTTAAACGTTACTGGCACATTTCTCAACGATCAGAATAAGCTAAAAACACGAAAGAGAATAGCCTCTGATCTATCAAATCGTGGGATCACCAGGAATAATACAGTAACTAAAGCATAATCATAAAAGTAAAGTGTCAGTAAATAACCTGAAGCATGAGAGTTGCGGGAGAAACGTCCACAGGAGCTTGAGAAGTCTTCCTGGTTATCTTATCTACGTACATGCTAGCTCTGACTGCTTGTACGATACTCCTGAACTTCGGGGGCTCCACCGCCTGTCTTCTCCCGAATATTTGTTTGGTGAAAGTTGCAGCCAACCATTCCTGGGAGTAAGCCGTCAGTTCGTTGTTCGACATCATGATGAAAGTACACAAAAGTAACTCCAACGGCAATAGTTGTTAATAAGTGCCAGTCAAAATCGTTGTCATGCACATTTTTAATTTGATAGAGAAAACTTTGTGAGGTTGAGCCGCCGTTAAGATGCTGAGTTGTGCACGTTGTTTTAGTAAAGCGTGATTATAGATATCTCCTCGGGGGTTCGGAAATTAGTGTCAACCGACAAGCGGCCATCGTGTTAAAACTATAATGATATATACGCGACGATCAGTGATGTCTCGTTATTAATAAGGTTTGCGTACAGGTGTCTGAGAATGTATCTAAAAACAATTAAGTGACAGTTGTTAAGAAATTGCCACGCAGCTTCTCATTTCAAGATTATCAGTCACATATCTAGCTTTCTTACCTTGACGGCTTTAGGAGTATCTTCAACGCTGGAGATCATCGTCTGGGCTTCAATGTCTTCGGAGACCATCCCAACGCTTGCCCTGAGTTGACCAGAGAGTTAAGAGATACAGAGACAGAGATAACTTTGAGAGACTCACACTACTGACAGACGCAACCCCTTTCCTCCCATTCCTCAATCTACCGCACTAAAGTTTTATGTTATTCATATTAATTAATCATGCGAGACGTAAACTGCTTGCGCAGAAAATTTCATTTGATTTGTCAGCGGCAGGAGAGTGCGGCCCGGGATTGGTCGGGGTGGTCACGTGACCTCTGCACGCGCAGCAGGAGCACTCAACGTGGGACCCCCACTGGCACAGTATCTGGCGAGTACTACACTTCGTTGATCTGTCAACACGACGTCGTAATCTTAGGAATCAATCGGAACACTCTCATGATTCTTCAAGTAAATTAGTGGCCGTCCAGCCATATATTATACTATTACCATGTTGTCGTGACTATGACATTAATGGAGGGGGCCATGGCCTCTTTTGTCATCTTTCGGATTCAAATAGATTGCAAAAATGGCTACATTTTCTCAAAATTTTCACCAAAATTATAAATTTTTCTCCATATGGCGGAAATAGCGAATGCTAGACATTTTTCAAATAAATGGCGAATGATGATCATGATACCCCCAACAATTTTGCGACGCATGCTAATGCACAAATAACCAATTTGGTAGATCCTTACTCATGAGACTGTTTGTTGGCAGTCATATCACTTCTTGATTTCTTGGTCAGGACGCAATCTCGCCACCGGGCTGAACATGGCGGGGAGCGCTTCATAGCAAGTCAAATGTTAGAACTAAACAGAAAGCAGGTTTTATAATGACAGACCAGGAAACACAGCTATCTAGATACACATGGATAATTACAGTTTGGGAGGAAGGTGAGGCACCTCTACAGCGAGCTTTGATAATCCACAAGTAGACATGGAGTTACTAAGGGCAATTAGAACCGTTTACCAGCCGTAATGGAATACAGCCATCTATCAATACAATTACTAAATGTATAAATAGACCGATGTACTGGAATATGTCAGGTTCTTAAAGATTGGGCTTTTGATTAGATCAGTGATTGGGTTTGTTCTGTATTTTTGGTAGATTTCGGCGGACATGAGCTTGCAATTGGCTGGTAGTATACATTTCTGCGCTGGGAGAATAGAGCGCCCACAAATACTTATCACAGCCTTTAAATGCCTAAAATATTCACTTGATAATCATTTGAAGCATTAGACAGCAGCAATTTCTAACTCAAGAACTAAGGAATGAGACTGCATTAAATTTGAAATTATAATAGATGAAGGGAAAGAAGGTGCAGTCTTCAGAAGATTTCACGAACAATTTTGCTTCAAATCTTTAAGAGGAAATAATTTGTTCATTTATAATCGTCGAGAAGAAGTGATTTAAGAATAATCATTGTAAAGAGAGAGACGGAGAGAGAGAGCCAGCATCATTCTCAATTATATGATTGCTCGGCAGCGTGGAGTGTAATAATCGAGACTTATGACAAAAAATTATCGTCTACACTGCCGCGGAAAAACAGCGTTAAGGAAGGCAGTTTAGTTAGCTATATTTACTTGGATCCGAGCCGGGGCTCCCTACACACTTCTACCGTCCCACTACAAGTGTTGAAATATAAACATGCTCCACTTTATCAATAGCCATACACTAAAATTTAATCCTACAAAATGTGCTGAAATCTTTAAAAATCAAAAACAGAACCGCAAGAAAAAGAAACAAAAGATCATAACATGATGTACCTTCTAATGGAAGAAATGATGGACTCAGTGTGACGGAGAATGGATAGTGCCTGCTCCAAGACCTCATCAGAGTCATGCTTAGTTTTAGACAGAGACGCTTTCTTCAACTCCTCCAATCTGAACATACAAGCAATGTTATTGTTGTTCAGATAACTTGTAATTCTGCTTTACAATTGCAGGTGGCATGTAAACAATAAATATTTATAAGCTGTGTGTGGGATTCATATTTAATAATTGTATTATAGTCTGGTTAAAATTGGATAAAAACAACCTACCGAATGATACTATCAGCGATATTTTTGGGGTCCAGAGGGTCGGGTTTGATTTTGTCTTCCGGCGATTCATTTTCGTTGTTTTGACACTTTGGGGCTGAAAAATGAGACTGTTAGTAATTGGTAAAGTTTAAAAATGTTCCCTCAAACACAGTTTCGGTCAGGACATTTGAGTTAATTCTAAAGACTGATAAACCAATATAAACATGATAATAAACAGACATTCTGACCAGTTGACAACGAACCTAACATGGTACTAATACCACACAAATCCTTATACTACCAAAACCTCTGAAACCTTCCTCTTCTTGCTTTGGTACAGTAAATAACAGTGGCTAGATAAAATCTATTTATTGTCAAAACAAAAATAATTCAACGGCTATCATAATCAAGTGGTCATTACATTGATGAGAACAGGTATTTAAAATGTGATTTATCATAGCGAAGTTGCAGGGAAGAGATTTGCCAAGACAGGTCTGACACAGATCATGTCAAATCGATTAGCCGACAGTAATTGTCAACCACCAGTGATCATCAGTCGTTAACACTAGCACTATTAGTGGTTATTAACTGGCGACACCCCAGCTATGAATACGAACCATTACTTATAGCTATAATGAATAATGCTGGACATTTTGTAATCATAATTGGCACGTGAAAAAGGTCTGAGCTGTGATGGTAATGCTGACTAACACACATTTGTGTGAACCAACATACTGACACAATCAACAGCGACTCATAAGTAAGCAAGTAGTAAAAATACAAGATGAGGTCTCTGTAGTAGTACTTAGTAGACGAATGTTTTTTACAGAGTGTTTCTAATTTTAGCACAATTTTTAAAGTTTTGGTTAAAATGTCAACATCGAAACACTTAAGTTATCAAAAATATGCTGCTGAAACTCAATCATATCTGTAGGTGGTCAATGTTCAACTTCAGGTGTTCGTAAATTAAAGGATTCATTGTATTGTCGATAAAGATACTGACGTAAAGAATAATATCTTCATATGCAGCAGGGGATGTTTCTTGAAATGAGCTTCTCACCAAGTGTCCGTTCGATCAAGGGTTGCAGGAAATTCCGTTGGTAATGGATAAAGATCATTATGAACAGAAATGATGGCAAAAAACAATCGGCAATAAAAGTATAAAAAATTGTATTTCGTGTCAAAAATGGTCTCGTAGGGCTAAGTAAATTTGTTGCTTTTGTGACCTCAATCCCAGCTGCATAAGTTGCATAAGTAGCAGCTACTAATCTGCTAAAGTGACCAAACCCATCTAAATATACATCGCAATGAAACAATATATTACCTCGAAGGAGGATGCGCTGGCAGGCAGCAGTATTTTAAAAACGTTTAACTATACTACTGCAGAGCCGTGAATTGTACTCTCATTTTATCTGACAACATGACAAAGGGCTTGTAGTTGTACTTGAAATAAGATTTCCGATATCTTGTTTTCTTAATTGATTCGTTCAGTTGAAACAGGAGGGCGAAAGATCAAAAGTTGTTACACCGTTTTTTCTTTGGACGGGAGGGGGAGATCAATAGATTGTATCATATGTGAAAACACTTGCAATAAAGTTACTGTATTGGACTAACTCATCTTCATTTAAAAATAAAGCACAGTGAAGACGTGAGATTAAGTTTATCTGTGTTTTTACAGAAAAAAAAGCTCTGACGCAACTATCACATTACGAGTAGTAAAAAAGTACAGATTGCACTCAGATTTTTATACTCCACGCAACACCACTCATTACGCGAAGCTGCAGTGTTTTCAATTTTGGACAATTCGAAATTTAGCCTGGGAAAAAAATGTTACAAGCAATAAAGACGTGAAAGTGTAAAATAACCATGAAGAAGTATCCGATCTTGAAATATAGCATGCCAAGGTACCAACGGATGAGCGGACTTCGCAATTTCATAATTAAAAAATATGCGTGGGAGAGAAAAATTAAGATTTCTTAACGGGAAAGATGATATAATGTTATGATTTCTCAACATGATGTTGAGAAATCTAAATACCCCGAAGGAACAAATGAAATGAATAATTAAGCCTTGCTGTTATAGTGTAACAATGTAACAAAGCAGCTGGTCCTGGGGACCAGCACTTAGCGTGCACAGCAGCTGAATAATAGCAGTACCCTGTACCACCCAGCTATTAACGTTTTAGCAAGTCTGAAATCAAAGATCTACCAAAGTACTGTCCCACCATTTAATCTAGTGAGAAATGACTTTGTTTTTTATCATACTTTGTTTACGATACGTTGTCCAACCACAAATAGCTTCATTTGAAGTTTTGAGCGTGGTTCGTAAGACAAGCAAAGGCCACCTTGAACAAATAGTATTGAATTATTATTAAGCTAATTCAAATATCGAAGTGTTTTAATAGTCGGAATTTTAATTTCTTGTTGAGGTGAAGTCCGTGACGTGCCCGTGACGCAGGGGGTACACTAAACCAGGCACACGGTGTGTAAACTATCTCACTGTATGAAGTTTGTGAGATTTATATTTCCCGGACAGGTAATTGAAGAAACCCTAGCTGTTAACGCTCTTGTAAAATCTACAGTGCATGCAATAACAGTATCTTAGACAAAATACTCAACTGAGCACTCAGCAGCTAATATCTCTCATCAAAACCTGATCACATATTCACGATAACCATAGTGATTCCTTTGTTCTTTAGGTGTAGGTACTGTTTAAAATTACACACAAGTTAAATTTACTTACGGTTAATGAAGCTACACAGGATCAAGGGTCTTAAAGGGTTTTCCATGGTCCCAAAATTAAAAACTAACGAAGTCAAAAACCGTTGAAACTTGAACTAGCAGAGTAGTCAGTAGAGTAGTCAGTAAACTTTTGCAAACATGTCGCGACTCAGCAGACTTACAGTGGACACAACAACTCTCCTAGATCACGTGATGCCCCAGATGAATTAGCTCTGCCTGTAACGTTAGCAAGGGTCATCAGTTGGACACAAACGGGACAAATAGAGTTGCTATTCTGGGGCCTACTTATACCAAAAAAGAGGCATCATGTCATACCACCCACAAGGGTGAATCATCCGCCATTTTACTTTCCACAATGAGACTGTGCGTGAAACGGGCGGATATCTCCACATTTCAAGGCGGTCCCCTCCCATAATATCAATTATACAGTAACTGACGTAGTAATGGTTTTTGTTGAAGTGCTCTTCGCAAGCACCGTACATCTTCGGCGCCATTATTGAAAATGAATTAAAAACCTCTAAGTAAGACTGTTGATTGCTGATTGTACCGCAAAGAAAGAAAGAAAGACAGACGAATTTATTTTATAATCACAATGGCATAGTCCATGGAAAGAGATTATATTTTTACCAAGCACAGTCGTTCTGTAGAAATGTACAATATGATAAGGGGAAAAACATCATTAAAAAGGCGTGAAAATGTGAAATCATGAATTTTACCTATACCATTACCAAAGTTCTTCCAGCTGTTGTCCCAGTAGTTGCTCTGGAAAATACGTGAGAACATCGTCAGGTGCTAAGTTAAAAAAAATGCTGTGACTTTTATGATCGATCCAGCACACAATTTAACAAACCGTCATAAATATCTTAACAAAACAAGTGATAAATTACAAGATCTGGTGCTGCTCTTCGAGACTTAACAGGAGACCACGGTGGACATCTAATTGTTTCCTCGGTGTGATTGGCAACAACTAACTAGGTGGAAATTGCACATTTCATGTTTTGAGGCGAGGATTACGGTTTCCTATAGTGTCATCAGCCCAAATCTGGGATAGTTGGCTCTTACAAGCGGCCAGATTAACACATATATTGATTTAGTAGATAACACATCATCACTCCAACAATATGCCGTATTTAATAGTGCAGTATATATACTTGCAGAGAATTGTCCCAACATTCCGCTCACCTGGCTTTAAGGGAGGACCTCCAAACAGCGAACAGTCGACCTTCCGGCTGTAGAAAAGTTTGGAGCAACAAAAACCCATGTGTGAACAACCACACTCTGGAACACAGTGGTGGAGGGAGTTCAGATAACCAAGCAAGCAGCGAGCTGAGGAAGTGTGACTGGATATAATTCTCCCAGGAGAGATTGTTAATCAACTGGAGATCCGTGTGTAATTAAGTGATTGACCGTGTGCTAATTGATAAGCTGTCCGCCAGCTGAACTCCTCTCCCAGCACTTCTGCTCTTGTTCAGATTGTGTTCGTCTTATCCGTCGTGGTCCTTCACGCAAACAAGCTCGTGTCTTCACTGCAGCTAAACATATTTCCTCCACTCGTCAACCTGCGTGTGCCATGCGAACAAAACGCTAATAAAATGACGAATGAACATGACTGATGGTGATCGTAAACCGTGCACTAGTTATTGGTTCGAACAATGAGGCTGTCGTGTGAGCAGCCAGTCGTTCACGAAACGAATTACACAGAATATATGTTATTATGTAATGTACTAAGAAAATTAATGAACGACTCTGAGCACTGAAATGAGTCCGAGGTAAGAGATGCTGGATGCTCCGTGGGTGGTATTATAAAGCAGCAGTAATGCCAAGTTGTGTGAATTGTTGGTCTCTGTAAAGCAAGCAACTAAACGTGTTTTCAAACGTGCCATTGTTTTGTTTTGAGAGGAACACTGCTCTATTATTTTTTATTTCTTAATAAATTTGGCGGGAAATGTCAGACAATATACCTGACAATTGCAAAACTGAAGAGAAATAAATATCAATATGTACATTGATGCGCATTTGTGGACAATAGAAAAGAAGCCAAATATAAATGGCCGTAGAAATAGTCGTACGTGGATCAATATGTCGCAATAATATGGTTCATTCCTATGAATTAATAAGTTCAGTCCGTATACTTTTTAAATTGAAGAACAGGTGTCTTTATAACTGTACCTTAGGTATTGTTACCTAGTCGACAACAATACCTTATCCCAGTGCGAACATTACATTTGTATGATTTTCTGTTACAGAAATCTTAGTAAAGAAATGGAATTGGTTGCCAAAATTCATCGATTTAATAATGCAATTAATTAATTCACTCCGAATAAATATTAGCACTTCATGCAAAAGCAACTATTAATCAAATTTGAAATCCTAT